TGAGTGAGTGAGTGAGTGAGTGAGTGAGTGAGTGAGTGAGTGAGTGAGTGAGTGAAAGAATGAGTGAGTGAGTGAATCATTGAGTGAGTCAGTGAGTGAGTGAGTGAGTGAGTGAGTGAGTCAGTCAGTAAGTGAATGAGTGAGTCTGGAGGCAAATGCGGGCGTCATTGTGACAGGATCTAAAGAAGCTGGATCTTTGCCTTGTTCCAGACCTGTGTGGATGTTTTCTGCTTCTGAGCTGGCCTGGTGTGCTCGGTGAAAGTTGTCTGCGCAAGACTCATGTTCTATCCAGATGTCTGAGCGACAACGATGTCGCCTTCACGGATCTGTTCAAGATCGTGAACCTATTTGACACAGACGCAAAGGTGAGATGATACCTCATGAAATTACAGTAGTGCTCGCTTGCTAACCAAGGATATATCGCCCACTAGTTTATTTTTTAGTAAGAGTTTGACGGCACCTGCAAAACGATGAGATCATATGAGTGCTGAAGATTAACGGTGTTACAAGAAAGTATTGAACAAACAGAGGAAAGAAAAAAGGAGGAGAGATGAGGATGATAATAAAGATAAATACATTAATTAACTAATTAATACATAAATGAGTAAACAGCATTTTTATTGCGCAAATTCTCACCCAACAGCAAGCTCTACGCGCTTTATAATCTACATTAAAACCCCTGCAGACCTGAAACTATTTTGAAATAATCTCAGCTTCATGGAAAGTATGTAAAACAAGCTGTCATTTTATAGGCTCTAAAACACTAACATACTGACACGATCTTTCACTATGGTTGGGAACGCATTCACACCTGGGTGAAATGGGGAACATTCGTTTTGTGTAAAGTGTCTTCCCCAAGAAAGCAACATCAGGCCTGAAGCTCGAACCCCAGAGCTCGCTATATCATGATAACGAGTCCGATCGCCTAACCATTAGATAGACGGCCACCCTTTGTTGAAGAGAAAAGTGGCCATATTAGACAGGTTTCTTATATTGTTAGTATCATTATAATGTTTTAAAAAATCCAAGGAAGGAAACGACAAGTGGGCTTTTGTACCGGTGATTGTCTTATACAGATGGCGTTAGAGCAGGTTCAACGGTTTATTCAGGTGAGCGGTACGGGGTTCTTAGCCTTGTAACGGTAGAAAAAGTGGGCGCAGGTACATTGTTGACTGATTTCTCGAGACTCGTGAAGGTCCCCTCCCCTCCACCCCCTTCTTTTTTCGACGCAATTAATTTAATCATTATTGTGGAGGCTGACTGATCTCTTGACAGTTTAGCAGTGCTTTTAAACCTTAAAAAATAACCAGCTCCCACTTTTGCCTGTCACATAAATCTTTCGTAACGCCACCAACATGTATTTCCTTATTTCCAAGCTGTAACTACCTGGATAGTCTCCAAGGCCCATCAAAAATACCAAATCGCCCACTAGTAAGCGAGATCGCCCATGTTGGCAAGAACTGTTTCACAGTATTGGTAAGAAAGATCGACACACTTACCGTACATTGGTTCCGTATTGACTGTTTATATTCTACCTCCCCATTAACGCAATTAAGGTCAATAAGGAGGCGGACTGTTGAACCTGCCTGTTTGAACAAAACTGGGAAGGATCGAAAAGCATCAAAACCAAATGGTAGAACAGATAATTAAAGTAGCCCTTCATCAATGACCCTCTCTTTGTTCCATCAGCTGTTCTACGTATTCAGGCTGTTCCCTTACGCTCTCTGATGTCATCTTGCCACTTTCTTTTCGGTCTTCATTTTGATTGTTCTCGTCTTTTTGGTCTCCATTTGGTTGGGTCCTATAGGAGACAGTTGTTTAATTCGGAGGTCTTGCCCCATAAATAAACAAACAGTATTGATCATCATAAAGTGCAAGTTTTGCAACAGACATCGGTGAACAAGGTTCCCTATTCATTCCTTTGCTCGGATGCTCTCAGAAAAAAACAACAACATCATCCTAATCTTTCTTCGCCATCCTCCATCTGTTTAGACTCTCCCATAAAAGATGCTTTGGCCTACCCCTGCCTCGTTTGACTTTAATTTTGGCAGTGAGAACGAGATGTTCAAGTGCTTTAAGTCCATACTACAGTGTATTATCATTTCTACCCGGCATTCACAGCCGTTTAGAAGGAATTACCACAGATAGCTGTTAAGAACTTTTAATTTGGTTGTTATTGAGCTGCTTCTATTTTTCAGGATTGGGCTAATTTAAAATCAAAAGTTTCTTTAGACACTCCAATTCTTATTGTGTTGATAGGGGGCGTTAATTGATTCAAACACTCTTTCCCACAGGACTTTGACAAGCAGTGTAAAGCCATAGGAAAGTTCAAAGACGCGTGCCAGTGCCTGGACAGGGTGACCAAGCAGTGCACAGGGAGTGAGTGGGCACTGGTCATATTCCGTGCCTGTTGAAAGGATCTGTCTGTCTGTCTCTCTGTCTGTCTGTCTGTTTTGTCTATTGTCTGTTGTTTTTTGTTTGTTTGTTTGTTTATATCTGTACTCCTCACCCTTCCCTTCCGGTATCTATCTATCTATCTATCTATCTATCTATCTATCTATCTATCTATCTATCTAT